ATCTTTAGATTACAGGGTTATAAACTGCTTTCATGTGTTCATGAACAGGTAAAGGTTTATTCCATTCTGAAAGGAGAAGAAAACACACCTTTTTGGCTGTGGAGCCTTCCTCAGCCCAAACATCGTCTCACTTTTCTTTTCTTCCAGCATGAAATAAACCTTTACCTGTTCATTTGCAGCCTATGCATGCTGATGCAGCTACCTACAGTACTTGAACTTGTGTTCAAACCACAAAAAGTCTATTGGACTGAGGTCAGGAGATTGTGATGGTCAATCCATTAATGACTTAGTTAGAAATACAAGATCACAGAGCTGTCACAACCCCCAAAAAAGGATTAGAAAACACAAAAATGCCAATGTAGTTTTCTTCAATGACAGAGCTTTTGGAGCAAGACCTTTGATTGAGTCAGTTTGGATATGCAACATTTTGGAGGAACACTCATGGAGAAATCAGAAGCAAGTATAATGCAGGTATATTGTATGTACACTTACTGTATGTAACCAGGGTGTTGTAGTTTTTTTTAATTTCAATTATTTTTCCTAATAATTATCTGTTTTTTTTTGTTGTTGTTTGCAAGGTCACATTAAAGATGAAAAAAATGTCTGACATGATTTTTCTTTATTTCTGGCTTTACATCACAAAAACCTGCAATTTCAATAACAGTGTGTAGGCTTTCTATATCCACTGTATGCTCATTGGCTTTGAGTGGAAACAGTCAAATTGCTATTTCTTAATGTGTCCACTCAGCAGACAAACATATGAAAAAAAACAGCAAGCGAAAATATTGTTTTGGTCTTCAGAGGTCACAATTTTCTGTTCTAGGCCTGTCAGGTAGCTGGAAATGCTTTGTAGACATTGTCCTAGGTGTCTACTAGCTTGGATAAAAATCTGGGACAAACTGATCAATTTGCAAAATTCTACATAATGTTTTGTGAAGACTGGACCTGGAATTAAATTTCTTGCATATAAAAATTATAAAAAATATTGAAAGCCATAACAATAAAAACCATTGTAATTGCTATAAAAACCTTTAGACACTGCTAGAGAGCCATTTTCTGCTGTTAGGCATTGAAAACAAACCTCGGAGTTGCCTTCTGGTGTGAAACAAAGGAGCACTGATAAGAAACTGATTGATTACCCCATCTGAGTCAATGATTGACAGCTAGAAGGCAGGCAGAATGCAGCCTGAGGCTTCTAGAGGATGTCTCGCCCCTTTAGGGCTCTGAATGGCCGAAAATACAATGAATGACAGCGTTTGTTACCAACCAAATTGCCTTATTTCTGGCGGTCCTGCTTCAAATATATTTTCCAAAGTCAATAATGTTAGTTTCCTCCAGGTCTGGAGGTGGGTCAGTTTAGCCTTTTGTGGATATATATTGTGTTTCAGAATAAGTTAAAAACATGGGATATGCCCGTTTGCGGTCTTGTTTTGCTGGCTTATTGATTACCTTATCGATGCACTTTGTTTGGAAGTTTGGAAGTGCATCATCAGATAAAAAGTGTCTGTGATTGTCTTTGTTTTTTTAAGCTCCGGTCGTCCTTTTTTGATTGATAAAAGATTTTCTGGTTTTGGTGATGTAAAACAATGAAGTGAGACGCTCCTTTTAAGTCAAGTTTCTAAGACCGTTGCCACTTGTGACCACGTTTGCATTAAGAAGTACAAGTTAAGAGTTTAATTTAAATGAGCAATCCCTGAAATGCATTATGCTGGAAGAAAAAAGTGAAATTGTTTTTAAAAATGGATGAGGACTTTCCCTGTTCGATGAGAGCCCTCGATTTCATGGCAAATCTTGCCTGGGAGAAGGAGCAGGTGCAAATTACACTTGAGGGGACCCCATTATGCTTGACCTGTATCGAATTTGGCCACAACACACTAATCTGCCTTTATGAGGAAGAGAGCAGAATGAAGATGCAGTTGTGAACAGGAAAATGGCAGAATGTGAACCTTACTATGATGAAAAGAAGATGTATCAGGGAAAGAAATTACTGGCTATGGATTGTGACACAACCTCTTGTTATTGCAGCGACTGCAAGCAAAAACAATGTTACTGCTTCAGGTGTGTTTTAGATGGACTAATGTGATGACTGAGAATAGTAATGCCTTAAAGCCAGAATAGCAGAAGAAAGCCTAGAAATGAAGATGGCTGCTGGGACAACCAGCCTGAAAGCGCAGTCTGCAGTAGTGTTTATGAAACGAGTGAAGAGTTGAGAATCCCAGAGCGACAACACAACCTCCAGAAAGAGCTGAAAAAGACTAGGTAAGAGATGGCTCCACACCTGTGTGTCCAGCCAGAGCACAGTCCTAGCTCAGACGAGCTGTTGCTGAGGAGAAACTCTTGTCTAACCATAAGGTGTTTCTCCAAAACTGAAAGAAGACATTCAAGAAGAAAAAGTCAAGGCCTATAATCTTAGCATGAGAAAGTGGGAGGCGATTGAAGCTCTGTTGTCTGCTAAAAAACTGGAGAGAGATTCAAATCTGCTAAGAAAGCAAGGTGTGTTGCAACAATTGAGATAGTGGCAGGGGCAGTCGAAGGGGGAACCTTTCATATACTTTTCCCTACAATACTCCTGGGTTGGGAAGTCAAATAACTAAGTATTGCTGATACTCAAAGAACCTTAGACACTCAGTGTGAACAGTACAGAAATCTTGCAAAAAGTGAAACTGTGCAACAAGAGAAGGGGTTGTGGAGTTTCTTAATGGCACCAGAAATCGTTGGGGAATGAGCTGTTGCTCTGTCACCTGACTAGTTGTCTTCCAGCAAGACTTCACTACCTGACCATCCTCACAGAGATAAATGTTTTTGTTCTGAAATCATGTCTACCACTATTATTGCACACATTTAGAGGCCACTAAATTGTGTTAAGGTAACTATGTATATCTACGTCAATTTATGTTTGCCACAAGATGTGCTTTGAATACTGTAGAATCGTAACCATTTTACTTCAAAATAACAAGCAAGTTTGCTTTGTTGCAAGCTTAAAGCAACAAAGAACTTATCAAGGATAAACCTATTTAGACAAGACAGGATACAAAGTTAAACAAACTTTTCAGAAATTTTATATTTCTCTTCTAGTAATCATGTTGCAAGCATGATTCACTTAATTTCTTGATGAAACACCATTCTGTTTTCAGACCCCTGTAGCAGGAACTAATATTTTAAAAGATATTATTGAGTTCCCGTAAAGTAGGGAAGGAAATGATTCAGCAGTAAAAGTTCCTTCATCTTTTAGGGAGGAGATATAAACAATCTGCAGTAATATCCTAATGATATATAATGAATTTCAACCTTAAACATTTTTACGTTGAACCTACTGACTGTAAGATAGTGGATTTATCTTGTAGTGCATTTGCTCAAATATAGCTATAGAGACAATGGGGCAAGATTAGTCACTGTGACTGGGAAGGGGGGGAGAGGTTTAGTGGTTAACAAGTTAATTTTGTCATTTTCTTATGTAAGAGCATTCCATTTGTGTTGTTGCATTGCATTGGCCTACTTAAGAAAGTTACTTTTTTTTTTTTTTTAGCTGTAATACTTTAATCAGGTATCATACTTCCTTTTTGAATTTTTGCTTATGCCAATATAGGGTCATGGTGAGGTGGGGCAAGATAAAACCCTGGACAGGACACTGGTACATGTCTGGGAACATACACATATGAGGGACAGTTTGAAGAGTAAGCACACTTGTGACAGTGGAAGGAACCCAATGCTTCTGTCAAAAAACCCAAGCAACTACAGGCAGAATACACAAGCTCTACATAGAAGGCCTAGGCTAGAAGAGAACATAGAACCCAAGAACTCAAGTGTGCAGCAGAAATGCTAACTGCTATGCCATTGCATCACCCATTTTAATAAATTGCAACTCCAATAGAAAGAAAAAGAAAGCACTTTCTACAGGGACAGAGTTCACAAAGAAAATTCCTAATGATTTTTACACAGGTGTTAGTAGGCCAGAACAGAGGAAAAACAATATTAAAATGGACTGTGGAAAAAATAAAAGATCAGAAAAACAAGAGCTATATAAGTGTAAGGAATTATTTAAAATTACTTAAAAAAAGTTTTAAATATCAAATGAGAAAAACAATCAGTGTAACTGAGAGATGAGAAAGCACTTATTTCCATGTTTATTTCCACATCTTTTTCCTCTAAAGATCCAAATATTTCAGTTTATTGTAAAAGCACTTTATTTCTTTCCAAATCCTGTCTCTTATTTGAAAAATATGGGCATGACCTTAAGGTCATGCAGGAGTTTTAAAAAACTTTTTTGCTTTATTAGGTAAGGCCTGAATTGTTCTGTTTAAAGAATTGGTTTGAGGTATAGGGATCAGATTGGTATTCTGATACCAACTGTTTTTTTCAGAATATCTGTTTTCAAATATTTTTAAACAATCATGGTATATCTGAAGTGTTTTTGGTGGGAATTATTTGAACTTCTCCTTACCAACTGGTGTATTAAACAGCAGTTGCAAAAGAACAATGACACAGCGTGTTGTATTCCTTGATCACTGAAACCAAGGCATCAATGAGGCAATGCCCCCTGGTGCTCTTTTTAGTGACAACAGACTCAAACAACACTGCCTCAATAAGCTTCTAAATTTCTTCACCATTGCATTACAATTTACACCTCTAGATTATGATCATGTACACGACCAAAAGTAAAGCAGGACAAATAAATCATATACAGTAGGTTGGTAGGCTTTCAAAATGAAAATCACTCACCTTTTCCCCCATCCATTCTTTATAGTCAAGAACATCATGCACTTGTGAACTGAGGCTTTCTTATTTCATTATACTTTTCTTATAAACAACAAGAGGACTTTATATAGATGAACAGTTTCAAACACACATGAAACTAATTAACATCCCAGAAACTAATTAACAAATACTTACCAGCAAAACAGATACATGTAAATTCTAGTCCTTTTCTAACAAAATGCTTTAATGTTTAATAAAGGAAAAGAACATTAAAATAATACATTTTTTAATTTTATTAAAGACACAAAGACAAAATATCAAATGGCATATGCCACACAGTGAAAAAACACAAGTGAATTAAAGTCACACTTTAATGCATATAATAAACACTTAAAAAATGTTATCATATCTCAAAAATGGTATTCCAGTTAAGTTACACAGAAAACAAGACTCCAAGGGGTTTAGCCTCATGAGATAGAAGAGCAGGAGGGATACTGTATGTGCCTGTCTTTACTTAACCTTTACAGTCTCCATAAAACCAGGTACATGATGTAAAGAAGAATTCTCTGATTCTTTAAATTATTCAACTAAAACCCAGCCTATCTTACCCTGAATAGATTTATATGCTAGTTCACATTTAAATCCATAAATAGTGGGGACTAAAACATTAGATGTAGATTAAATTCTACAAGGGTCTGTTTAAAATCAAGCTTAATAAAGAGTTACAGAAATAAAAACAACTGGAGTTCCACTGGAATACTTCCTGTGCTACATGCACTTAGATATCATAAGAAGTAAAACAAAATATCTGAGAACAAAGTGTCTGAAAATGAAAAGCAAGGAAAAGTCAGGGTTATGAAATCAACAAAAACGTTGTTATAAATCTCTGAAATGCATAAATATCCCAATTTTTATACCTTATTTTAATAAAATATTTTACAGTCTGAAATATTTCAATTCCCCTAATATAAAAATAGAACAACTGTATTGCTCAACTCACTGAATACAAAACATACAATGTAGTGGAGTCCCAATGAAGCACCAATAGAATGCTGGCAACTCAAAAAACAAATGCTTTTATTTCAAGTTTCATGAACCTCTCTTCTTACTAGTTAACATTAATTTGCATAAACATGCACAACTGCAGCTCATCTATAATATACTGTATGCAGCTCAGCAATGTATTTAAATTATTCAGAGCTGCTATAATTTGTTAATCCAGAAAAAAAACATTGAAGCTATAACATGAATTTAGATGCTAATTAATTTCCTTTAGCTTGGTGACTGAAAAAGTAGATTTTTTCTAAATACATCACCCACAAGTATTTCAGTCTATGCTTTAGATTTACATCTTGTTAATTTAGATAAAAATGTAAGTCTCACATTTTTCACAAAGCAGTTGTGCCGCTTCAATCACTCAATCTCTTTTTTGGCCCTACCAAATTAAATTTATAAATACCATGTCCCTTTTTTGTTTTAAAATACTTTTTTAAATTTCAAGTTACCTACGGGAATTAGCTGACGATTATGCATGCAGGGATGTACCAGGAACCTTATAGAATATAAAACTATTCCATCTTTAATGCTACCTTATAGTTACACCAGAGAGGAATGTTCAGACTTCACAAATGGTGTAAAGTGAGAGTAGAAATACAGCTGGTAAGTTATAAAAAAAAGTCTTTCTAAAAACACATTTTCATAAAAGCCCTTATTCGTGCAATATTTTTTCAGGTTTTGAGTATCCAAACAGTGTAAAGTCTGCTTCATAAAGTCTGTACAATTCCCTCCTCCATTTATAGGGAATACTGGCAAACCACTCCTCCTCCCAGCTGCTCGCAGTTCGGTTACGATATCCTGGTGGGAACTGGACAATGTTATCAACCCGGAGAATGCGAAGCAAATGCTCTGCATCATCTTCCAAGGTTTCCAACTTCCCCACAAAGTCGTAATTTATTTGACAGGGATGACACAGCCTATATACTTGTCTCCAATGCTCATTGAAGGGCATCTCTTGTTCTGTCTGAGGGTCTAATAAATACTGAATAAAGTTAGAAAAGGAGGGTCGAATTCCTGCTGCAAAGGCCTTAACAACTGAAGCAGGAGGGTCTGTATAATTGGAATACTTTTTTAACATAACAACAGCAAATCTCTTGTAGAAGTCCTCATTCTCTTGAAGAAATTTATTCCTGTAAGCAGAGATCAGCCTGACAAAAGGGTCTCTAACAAACAGAAACTTAGTGTATTTCTTCAGCTTGATTTTCATCAGGTGCCTTGAAAACTTGCCATAGCGCTTCCAGAACTTGTTGAAAGTGAAATGGAGGCTGCTATTGTGAACATGTTCTAGTGGGATGTCAAGGGGATTGTGGTAAGGGACACCGTCATTTAAAAGGCTCTCAGTCAGCACAATCATGATGCGCTTCCAGTTGCTGCAAGCCACTTTGGGCACATAGCAGTAGATGATTCCATGTCGGTCGTCAACAATCAAATGATCCAACTCCTTATTTGGAATATCATCAAAAGTTCTGTTTTTCCCTGGGAAGTCCAGGGTGTTGTTTGTGCACACATCATGAAGCAGCTGCTTCCTGATGTTCTGTCTTTGTTTTCTTTCGGAACTAATAGGAGCCAAATGGACTTTCCATGCACGCTGAGGAACATATTCCTCCTCATGCTCTGTAATCTTCCCAGACATTTCAAGTGATGTTTTTTGGTCCTCCCTTGAATGCATGCTGGGCTCGGTGGTGGCCTCCAAGAACTGGTTAATAAATGCATCAATATCTGATAAAAAGGAGGTCTCTTTGTCAAAATCAGTCTTTTCTTTGGGGATGGAATGACTTTCAGCAAGATGGTGTGAAGACTGAAGTCCAGATATGGTAGTGTGAAGATAAAAATGTGTTGCTCCGACATCATCCCAATATATTATGATCAGCAGGATCATAAAGAGGGAGCCCAAAATTAAGGAGATTCGAAAAAGTCTTGACTTTCCCATTTTATCCAGTGCAAAAGCTGTATCTTCCATTCTTATCTTGGCTCCAAGCTTCTATCTTCCCCCCCCAGGAGATGTCATCATCATGTCAAAATCAACATCAACCCTGTATGTATAAGCAATAACACAAGTGTGAGTGAAAGACGTAGTGAAAGATGGCATGATAAAACCTTTTAAGGAACAAGATGGAAGACAATAGCTGAAAACTGAACGTTGTGAAAGAATATCTAGGAAACCTTCATATGGTAGTACATTAACAAATGACTAACCTAAACAGGAGAGAGCTTTTTAAGTTTTTTTCATAAGTCTGATATGTCTGCCTATTGTCAATAATGTAGCCTTCTCTGGCAATGTAATCATTGCGTTTGCAGGTCTGCAAAATGCAAGGCTCCTAGTCCTGTTGTTTTTTATGCTTCTTATGCACATAAATAAAGCATAAAAACAAAAATTAGCTATATAATACAATTTAGATATTTTTATTATACCATCCCAAAATTGTGTACCAAAGGATCATTATCCACAAAACACACAGCATGCTTGCTACATGTTGCAGGGGGTTGATATTGTGGAATAATGCCACTAGTTCCCCTGGAATGTCATTCAAAACCCTATGGCTAGAGTGAATGACCAGTTGATGAGGTAACGGGCCCAAGTAAACAGAATGGTACCAGAGCACAACTCAGGAGCTATCTACTTTCAGAATCTCTTCAAAGATAGTTGTGACGACCTTTTTTTGTTGATGTGGGCAAAGACCTCTGCAACCCCAGCAGTCCTTCATACTAGGAGATCACAAAAGAACATGTAGTCTAGAATACCATATCATCTGCCACTGTTTTGTATTTAACAAATAACATGACAGGAAAAATAAAAGAAAATAAAACAGAACTTTGATTAATTCGACAGTATCATATAAGTGTGGAAAATGTAATTTGGTCCTGCCGTTTCAACGATGTGCGTACTATTGTGTTGATGACAAAAAAAAAGGTTGTCGAGAAGCCTGTTTACTGCTAAATAAGGAGAAGAGAAAAGTGTAGGTTATAAGGTGCACAGAAAACTGAGATCCAGAAAAACTTCAGATGATATTGTATATAGTGTTTATGACAGGAATATATTTCTAAAAAAATCAGAGGTAAGATTTAATTACTAATACCCTCTGATAGACAATACACATCCTGTGTAGCTATGTACAGATCCAGCCATTCAAAATGCTCGAAGTACGCTGTGTTAAAACGCAGTAGGCGTGGCGCATCATACTTCATGCTAATTAGATTATGATAATAGAATCCGGAAGCACCTTGTAAGACCTTCTAAAAACACCAGGTGGAGCTAATAAAGCTTAACATCTCATGTACAGCATTTGAGCTGTCACCAGAAAATGCCCGGTTTCGAATCCCGGTCACTGCCGAGGGACAATCTCTTTCCAATTAAGAATTTAAGTTGTATACTCTTTAGACTTTTAATAATGTTTAACTGTGTATTACAGCATGTTAATAATTAAACATTAAAAAGTCTGCATATTTTATAAAAGCAAGATTGCTCAGTTGGACAAAAGTGCACAACCTTCCACCTTCATCATAAATATTTTAATTATGCAGAAATATTTTCTACATCAAAGTCTTTATGGAAGATATTATTAATAGTATTAATAATGAATGACCTTGGACAGCTGTAAGCTCAAAGTTTTACCGTGGTCCACTTTCTTTGTAACCGTCTGCACCAGTTTATCTGTTGTGACACAAAAATACTTTATTTTTTCATTGACAAATTGTAACACCACAGCATTTCATTGATCTGATCACGTATTCGTTTTCAATCATACAAAATACGTTTTGAGAATCTCCGATTCACCATGCCTAAAATGGGTTCCTGGAGATTCCTCATAAACTAGATTAATTTAGGAACATAAACATATTATGTAAGCTGTATATGTCTGGTATTGGTAGTTTAAATACCAGTATTACACTTTCTTCCCAAAACATTTTAAACATTAAAGTCTTGCATTCGGTTACAAACTGTGGTTATTTTGGAAACGTTTTTACGTGCGCCTTCTGACTATATTACGTTTATATACTTTGTAAAAAGTTATAATGTTTGAACCTTTTCTGCGAATACTTACGCTCATTAACACAGTAAAAAAATGCAGTACCAAAACTACCAATACCCGCCATATACAGTTTACATAATATGTTTATGTTCCTAAATTAATATCGTTTATGACCTTCAGACGTGTTATGCTCTTCTTTTTATGCTCACCTACTAAAATTTACCTTTAGTTGAAAAATTCCATATGAATATTCAAAACTAAGAGGATTAAACATGCACAGTAAAGAGATTAAATGATTAAATCGTTTCACTTACAACCAATGCACCACGAGTGCCCCCGTCAGTCATTTTGGCCAGCCAAATCACATGCCGCGGTACAACGCAGTGAACTGTGGGTAATTTTTGGCGGTACGGGGTTGTACTGTGCATTTTGAATGGCTGCATATTGTATTTATACCATCACTGTTGCAAACAATACACACTGCAAGTTCCATTATACTTTCATCCACAGTATTTGCATTCCGTTAGGCCTTTGTATTCTACTTCGGCCATGTTATTCACAATATTTTATGGTAAATTCCAATTCTAGTCTTTTAAACATTTTACTTTCTGAAGTGAAAATGTCAAGGGGAAAAAATAAAAACACCCTCCGGGTACTTTCAAGAATTACATGTTTTGAAATTTTCTGTATAGAACAAACTGTGGTGACTGACTTCAAGTTAAACATCTAAACTCACATCCAGGTGCAAGGAAACCTGCGCCCCTCCTTCCTACTGAAAACACTCTGATGCTGAAGAGCTGGTAGTAGTGAAGTGTCATTTTAACCACCTCCAAGACACCAGTACAGGAGCTCACACACATTCTCTAAACTTTGCCCACCGTGGAAAAAGAAATCACAAGAAATTCTAGTGGGTCTCCTGTAAGATCAATCAGAAGAGCAAAGCAGTTCTCACAATGCAGACAAGTCCACAGTTAGATACAACATAATTTTTTTTTACATCCAAGATGAAAAGCAAGGTGCGGAGGAGTCTCCTTAAACATTTTTCATTGGTTTCTGTGCAGTGTGTTAAATTTAACTTTCTATTTTATGTGAAATAAATTACCATTTCAGAGAGTAGAATTCAAGGTGTCCAAACCTTGAATCCTCATAGGCGCGTAAGTCATAAACAATTATAATTCACTGCAGTTTTTTTTTCTCATAGTGTAAGCCCAACCTGTTTTTTTTTACATTTGTATACATAGACAGTTAGCACTTAATTAGGTAAATTTACATTTAAAACACCTTACATTTAAAACACTACCACAACTGACAACTTTATTTGACTTTAAATACAGTATATCTGTTCACCCCTGAGAAGTAAAAAAAACGTAAATCCAACAAAGCTAAGCCTTAACTTTTCTAAAGCCGCTTTTCAAAATTCTGAAGCACTAATGATTCCACAAATCACAATGACAAATTCAATAGTACAATCTGTTAACTGTGAAAAAGAACCCCAAAGACTTCATGTGAAAAATGTTCTAAGATGACTCAACCCTCTCACTGCCATTTCATCAGTGACACACACAATATAGAAAACGTTTTAAAAACCAAATGATCACTAATAAAAATGCATGTCTTTATGCTAAATAGATTTAGAATGTAAGTCAAACACATATATCATCAGACATGTTTTACAGTTATAAAACACTTGGAAGCTGCACTACGCAGCTATTTTCAGGAACGTGGAATTAATATTTGAGTAAGCATCCCAAAATCATTCAGAACGGCCAAGAAATTTGACATCGTGGTAAACTTTTCTTTGCAAGATCTGAAAGCTAATCTTACGATGACGTCAAACCCACTGTCTCAAAATCAGTTTTAGGAAATAAAGATATATACTATTCGTTATTTTTAACTTGTAACAACATCACCCAGTGCTAACTAGAAAAGCAGCTACTGGGGTTTTAGTGCGTGATTTCTTAGGCATTTTTGAACATCAATAAAGTTGTTTTTCTTTCTAGTTCATGTTCGGCTGCAAGACTCATATTCAGGGAAATACAGGCTACGAACATGTCAAATTATGGATGAAGAGTGTTTAAGTGTACCGAAAGGGAAGAAAAAATCCGCTTTGAATTTGATTCTATATTATACCAACATCCCATTATTCTATGAGATGTTGATGATACGAAACAGATGGTTTAACATTTGAACATTCTATGATTTAGTAGTAGAAGGAAATGTGTTACAGTAAAAAATGTACATCCGCGCTATGTACGATTCTATCTAAAATCACATTCAGTTAATTGCTCCTTTCAGTTCTGCAAACTCACTTTCCATTTCAGTAATAAACGTCCTGGCTTGCTGTTTCATCTAGGTCATTTCATTCATCATCCAAAACGTCCACAGTAGATATATTTAATTTTGTTCAGATAAGGTGTCGTGAGTAAAGTTAATTCATGGTTCGAGTCTACCGTGTACAATACAGTCCTTTCACCGAGGCTTCGCTACAACCCAGTTCCTTTTTCTGCGGCTGTTCCTCAGCCAGCTGACTTGCATATCCTTCCTCGTCTGCCAACATCATTACATTTAGCACAAGGAATTTCTCCGCCGTCCAAAATTATCTTACATCTACTTCTACATCTATCTAACCCCGACTATTTCATCTGGTACCCCTAACGATTTCATATTCACTTTTTTCCCAAACCTCTCCAAAAACATTCAAGAAATGACACATTTTTCGACACGACTTTTGTATACGAACAGGCGTAATTTATTTAAGTTAATACGCACTGCATATTTCTTATAGATGATCTACCCTGGTTCGTGCGATCTCCTGGACCTTGCAACATCTCCTCACCTCTCGCCCTGGTCCGCAGCTGTAACTCTACGCCTCCCCACCCAAATCTGTATCTGTATCTGTATCTGTGAGCAGCTCTGCTTGCCGCCTGGCTGCCACACAGACCTAGAGGAATCGAGGGACTGGAAGCTCGCGAGATTTCGCCTTACTTGCTTTTTACTGGAGAGGAAGTGTGGCAAGAGCATAAATATGAAAATGAATACTAGATGGGACGTATAGCGGCATTTTCAATGTATCTCTGTGCTTAAGAGGTCTAGTCTTCCTATCACACAAATTTAGCTACAGTTGAAACAATTGTGCCCACTGCGCATTGTGTTTGTCCGCAAAAGATGATCAAAGGAACGAGGCCAGAACGAAGTTACAAATGTAAATGTCCGGCAGGCGTCAGGAGCCTCTTTTAAAACCGTGTTTGTCACGTGCGGCTCCGTAATTCACTTTTTGTTCAGCGGTGAAATTGAACCAAATGACACGCAAGAACTACAGAGAAATTATTGTTTTAGCTCAGAATAGGGTAACCTCTTTAAACAGAGTTGTGTGGGAATCCTTGTTGAAGTCTATACCCTGACATTTTAAAGAAACGGCCTCGGATCAGCCAAAAACTAGTATAAATCGTCATCCCAAAGTGATATCCGTTTTTCAACATACCTGTTTTTTCTTCAGGTCTTCCACCTCAGTATTGACCAAGCCTTGGCTCAGCTCCTGAAATCTGACAAAATAAGCCCTTCATGGCTAACGACACAGGGGATCATAGATAAAACCAAATTTTAATAAATTCTGAGATGTTTCTTTCTATTGCCATTCAGTTGTGAAACACTTAACAAAATCCTCATCTGTTGAACATATATTTTCTGTTGTTTCCAGAGAGATAATATAGTGTAAGGAAGCAGTTATTCAGTAATAAGTTTTATTGCCATAAAACAACACAGGAGGGCCTTGTTAAACATGGATAAAAAAGTAAAAGTCAGGACATGAAACTTAGTTGTTAGTTGGATATAAAACTGATACTTATTAATAATTAATAAAGCATATACAGACATTGGATTTTGGTTCCGGCTTTTAGTGTTATTTTGTACTGATAATTTCATAATTGACTCTATTGCCTTTGTTGAATAAAATCACCCTTTTAGTAAGAAAGTTGATTAGGGACAGGCGATAAGATGATCTAACCCATTGAATGTTAATCCTGGTGCAAAATCAAATGCAAAAAGGAACTGATATCCTCCACTTATCAAGAAAACAATGCTTTAATTGCTGCCATTACTGTGGGCTTATCCTTATTTACTGTATATTGTATAATAGTCCTGCCTTACTGAACAGATCCTCATTCTGCTTGTCTTACATTGGCTTATTTGTGTTTGTTGTGAATTTGTTGTGGTTATAACTACTCTAGTTACAGCTTACTGTAGTGCAACTGTAGTTGTACTATATAAGTAGTTTTGATGCTCAGTGCATTTCAAGAAGATGTATCTGTAGTAATTCTTCTGGAAATTTTTTTTAAGTGCAACTTATAAATAGATGCATTGTTTTGTCTTTACATCATCCCAAAACCTACACATGTAATGAACAATGGCCTTTTGTCTGACATCAGTTTTAAAATACTTGGGTGTTCAAGCAGTTCTTATACAAGAAAACAGTGATTTTATTTCAGCTAAAATAATAAACAATATAACTCAAAAGAAAATAATGTTAAAAGAAATCTATCTCAGTAATGAATGTTACAACCATTACATTCTTTGGTTTATAACTGTTCTCAAAACCTAGAGGAATTGTATTCTAGTACAACTCTTACTGTATGACCTATGTAATTTTATTAACTAAATTAAAAAGATACCCATGCAGTATTTAAGATTCCCACCATTATTATTTGGTGTGTATTATATACAATACATATTCTACATATTTGTAAATAGTTTAAAAACTCCTTTTGGTATGATACTATAATTTCATTGGCAAATCTTCCAAAGTGCTATTTGTTTTTTAGAAACATATCAAAATGAAACCTTTAATATTATATGCTTTTCTGACACAATGTTTTACTTTACGTATAAAATATAGTTAAATCTCTACTATACAAAAACTTGCATATAAGAATGCATATTACAGTACTCCAAAAATAAGTTTCTTATATTAATACAGACAACACAACAAAGGAACATTCACATTGCAACTAAAACACTATTGGAACCAAATTCAATGTATTGCTAAATTGCAAAACAAAGCATACTTTGACTTAGCCAGTAAGATGAATTAAAAAAAAATGAAATCCATGATATATAGTATGTTCATCATCAAAATCAGATCTATAATCTATTCTTAATCAATTCCATTATTACTAGCAAAGAAATGCATTCCAAAATGACCTTTTCTTAAAAACAGATGTTACAGAAAATGAACAAATAATTGGCAATTAAAAACAAAAATATTCTCTGAGCAAATTATACAGTATGAAGCAAGAATAATAGCAACAACTGAATGAAATTATTCTGAACAGGTGAATTTATTCAATTAGGATTATGCTCTTTAAATTGGTGAAGGATGTTTTAGGATGTGCAAAACATATTTAATTTAGTGAAAGGTTAAAAGGAAACAGAAGAAACCTTTCTCTGATTAATTTCAGGAGTATTAGTGCAGAAACAACTGCACTTTGTGTTCTTTCTGAAGACAATCTTCAGAGATGAATTTTTCCCTCTTTTGAAGAATCTACAGCAGTTCCTCAAATTTAGTGTGATCCCTTTTCATTACCATTTTCACTTCTGTTGCTTTTTTTCAGTTGTTTCGTTGTGTCTCATGTTGGCATTGACTATCCTTTTGGAATTCCCAGGTTGCAGGGGCCGATTTGTGCTTAACATTTCTGCAGGTCCTTAATGAAATTAAATAAAATGTAGGATTAATATGATATATTTTTAATTTAATGTACTGTAGAAACATTGAAATGTGTCTAAAGATGCCAACTACAAAAAGTACACTCTGCAGGGCACACACAGACATATTCTCAACAGGATCAATTTTCTCAGAAGCCAATTTCCTTGCCAGTATGTCTTTGGACTGTGGGAGGAAACTGGAGCACCCCAGAGGAGACCCTCACAAACACGGGGAAACATACAAAATTCACTCAGACAGCACCAGAGCTCCCAAATTGAATATAGGGCCCCAGCACTACTGACAACTGCTACACCATGTCACCCACAACATATCTAGCCAATATTAAAATATTTCTTAATATTACAACCAAAGTACAATTATTTTTTGGTATTTTTTTCCTAAGATAGAAAGCTAGTTAATGACATACAGACCTCTGACTCTCTTGTGTACAGTTTGCCCTCTTCTTCCTTCTACATTCTTTTGGTGGATAGTGCTGGGTGGGGTACCTCGCATCTCCAGTTTCTGTAGCTGGCTCTCACCTGAACAAAACCACAGATCAGGTCTTCTCATGTGTCTCCATTGGACCCTGTTTATTTTCTGGTTTTCATTCTAACTCTTGCCTAATTAGCTAATTACTTTTTTGTAATGTCATTCATTAGATATATTTTAAAATGTATTCAGCTCTTAAAATGTTTAATGAGGTTTGAAATTAACAATAAGTCTAATTATTTTCATTTCAATTATTCAATTAAAACAGTTCAGCAAAATCAGAACAAGTGCCTATTAAATAATCCCCTCACACCCGAAGAAGGCTCCACAGCCGAAACGCTGTGTTTCCTTTCTTCTCTTTTCAGCATGGAATAAACCTTTAACTTGGTCCTATAAATAACTAAGGACATAACTTACCCTTACATTGTAATTCCCACCTGTGCCCATCTACAACAATTATATCATTTATGTTCAAGTGGAGAAAGTTTAGTTTCATGTTAATGTTGACATACAGTATTACCTGCATAATGAGAGATAGGGTATTTGATCTTAGTTGCTGTTAGGCTGGGAGGGTGACCAATGTTCTTTGATTGCAAAAAATGGGTTGCATTTTGGGAAAGTCGAACAAGCCTGTTGTCTGAAATACTTTCTAAAACTGGATTCCTGGATGTGTTGGTCTTTGATTTCTTTAAGATTAAAAAGAGAAAAAACAATATATATTAATAACCATTACCATCTGGTTAAAAGTCACATTAACACACATCCCATCTTATTAAAATAATGTTTATTATACAATAAATTGTATATAAATACTAGAATATGATAATAATTAGGAAATATTAAGTTTTTACATAAGAAAAAACAGACATACACCTTAGTAAGTTGACAGCAGATACATTTATGTAATTCAGAAAGACAAAACAGCAATAAGTGAATGAATTTAATCATTCAACCTGAATTTAAACCTCTTTAAATAACTGGTCAGAATGCTGTTTTATCTAATAAGGTAAGGTATTAAATATGTAATATTTTAATATGTTAACGCACATTTAAACCTTCACAGTTTAAACAGTCCATTCATGGTAATTCATTATAAAAGCTTGTAAACTCAAAACAAAATAAAAAAAACAAATGTAAACCATTCAATTAGCTTACTTCAAGTTAAATGATTAAAAGAATGTTGCTGACTGACTGTGCCTTCTGCATTGAAAACTGGCATTCTACCATCACTGCTGTCTTACACTTTACACTGAAAAGGAGTACAGTATGTGAGGTATAACGAGGAAGTTCCTTTCCAAATTAAAAGCATGTTCTCTATATTTAATCAACATTGATTGATTAAGGAGTGGACAATAATACACACACAATAATAAGTTAGCTTTCAAACTTATTATTGTGTGTATATTACTGTCCACTCCTTAATATCTAAGTACTCGCTCCTGCACAGAGAACAACAAATTTGTCCCATGTCTGCAACAATTAGTTTGGGTCCTGTGTGACTCCAATCCTGCTGCAGTACTCTTAAATAAGGTTCTTGCAGGCGATTTTAACAAACCCATGGTTGCTCACTGAACACAATAAAGTAAGATCACTTTATTGGCCATATATAATTTCTTTTATTAGGAATTTGTTTTTTTGCATACCCCAACCTGCTCTCCATGACACACACAGACAGGGAGAGAACCTTGGGGTCAGAGCACAGGGTCAGCCATTGATACAGCACTCCTGGAGCAGTTTGGGTTAAGGGCCCAACAGAGCAGGATTCCTCTGCTGGCCGCAGGATATGAACCAGCAACCTTCCAGCCACAGGCGCAGATCCCTAGCCACAGAGCCACCGCACAGCCCAAACGTTTGGTGATGCGTTGGCCGGGAAACAAACCCGGGTCAACTGCTTGGAAGGCAGCTATGCTCACCACTATACCACCAATGTGGTGCCAATGTCTAAAGAGGTCAGAGAAGCACAGTTGAATTCCATACTAAAAAGTAAAAAGAAAACAGCAGTTCCTTTTCATGCACACAGCTGAAGATGGTGGCTTTTTTTATTTCAAGCATGGAACTAAAACTTTTTATTTATGTTTTATATTATGTTTCATTTCCATATAGCATACCCGTTTTGTGTTGACTTCAAATGACATGGAACGTTTCTTCAGTGCTCGTCTTTCAATGGAATCATCCCTTTTTTCAGTCTTCCCCGATTCTTTTTTTGACTTCAGGTGTGAGCTGCCCTGGGTCCCTGGAAAACTCTTTCGGCCATCAAGACCTTTTGTCTTGCCCATTGTTAGATTCTCAATACTGACAGCTGGCTTTATGGCAGCGGCTAGAGTCTCATGAGGCTCTGACAATGATCTTTCCGATATATCTTTATCCAGTTCCTCTAAAGAATACACTGATATGAGGCTTTTCTCTTTTGCATGAGACAATCCATTTGCTGAGTCAGTAGCATGGATTCGTGATCGGCGCTTGGCTGCAATGACAGAAATGCTCTTCGTGCCTGAAACAATCTCTGTCATGGTTTCAGGGTTGATCTCTTCAAATGCTGACTGATCGTTGTCCTTACTTTTGGTAAGCCTCTGTTTTTATTGGGTGGTGATAACAAACAATTTACAATAGAACATTTATGTTTACAATACAAAATTAAAACTTTTTCAGAATTTCAAATTTCATGAAGTTGCTTCAACTAGCCTCTCAATTCTTATTTTCTAAGTGTATAAACAAATGCATATCTATTTCTACATACCATATATTTTTTGTCCATTAAGCTACTGTAGAACAACTCTGCAGTCATTTACAATGTGAAATTGCCTTGGCATCATCCTGAGATCTTGTACCAAGTTGGTCCAGTGGGCACCCAGCCACGTCATCCAAAGGGGTCTGCCCCTACTCTTGAAATGGGGATTGCAGAGTCTGCTAATTTTTGTTTCATTGCGAGACAGCTTCATTGTTTTCTTATTGCCCCCTCTGAAGAGTATTAACACAGTGCCATGCTAGTCTTACCCCAGGCCCTTAGGTCTTATTGGTGAGACTAGCATAGCATACTATTTTTATATAATTTCACAACTTAAAACTGGAACTATTTTATATTCCTAGAGAACGTTATAGATCTGGACCACCATTTGGACTTCCTCCAAAAACATACTAAGTTCTTGATGGCTTTTGCCTCACCTGCAAAGACCAGGAAACCCACCCTTGAGGATCACAGTCCGAGACTGAGCATTAACTTTTAGAATTGAGACCAAAGCTTGTGCATTTTACCCTCAGTGTTAAGAACTATAACATTCACCTAAACAACAATCAATGAGTACTTCAAAGACATCTACACAGGTCTTATAGACTGATAAACCCCAATATGCTCTCCAACTCTAAACTGTATGGCACTGACCCCCACAATCACGTGGTCAACTTATGTTATCTGTGCATCGTTTTATCTATTATATTTGTGCAACATGGGCTCTACCTCAACTGTAAGAGATTTCTCAAATCTCTTTGATATCAGGGACCTCAGTAGTGATTTTAATAATGTTGCTGACTCTGACTCAAGAGCTTGTGCTAGCTGACTATGAAATTTGTATTTGTTATATGCCCTTGAATGACTTGGCTGGGTTTCCCAGTTTCCCATTAGACTAATTTGGTATTTTGGACTTCTAAGTATGAAGTCAGGACAATGCATTTTGTCCAACTGTGATGAGTAAATTCCTTTTCAGGAGACCAAGTTTCTGATCACGTTGTGTACTGTGGACAGGTGAAACTATACTCTCATATATACCTTATTTCAATTTGACTAAAATCTTTGGAGTTCCAATGCAATTAAAGATAAGACACTGTTATTTCAATGTTGAAAAATTTCCAAACTGGCTAAAACATTTTAGTAAACAAAAGCCAGATATAAAAAGACATGTATACCTGATTTGATGAAGGTTGGCCTTTGATCTGGTGTGATTTTATAGTGGATTTTAACACCTTATTGCTGTCGTTAAAACAAAACCAAAATATTAATTCCTCTAACAGATAAATTTGCGCTGCTCTACACAACAGTTTAGAGGGTATATTAATATTAAGATAAATATTTCATTAATTAACTTAGAGCATATCACATTAATGATTACCATAGAACAATCATGCTTGGAAAAAAGAAATCCAAATTCAAAATTGGACAGAAAATATTTTAAGTTATATGGGATGCATTTATTTTCCCTATAGGGAAAATTGATCAGTCAACAGTGCATTAATCAAATAGACTGCCTTCTGCTTTCCTGCAGGGAAAGTCTTTCTTATGAGTAAAGAAGACCTGTTAAATGGAACATCACACTTAAATAATTACCTCTCATATTCTGAGACTATTGAAGGAAGGATGTACTTATTACGTGAATGATACTTCCTGTCCTCTTGCACATCTGGTCTTGGGCTGAGGTCATCTTTATCTAATTCAGGAATCAAATCCTCCAGCTTTAACTGTTTTGCTACATTTAATATGGATCCATCCTAGAAAACATATATTGAAAAAAAAAACATAAGCAGTTACCCATAAACAATTCTAATATGTTTAATCTAAAATACTTTTATGTATATTTTCTGAAGTATAAAATGATCAGATACTGTCCTGCAAAAAATATACTGTATGGTTCTTTTGTAATACTTTAGAACTCTTCTGTATTTCACTTCATTTCATTGGGCTGCATAAAAAAACATCGCATAGAAGTAACAACTACATTAAGTCCAATGTGTTTGCATATAATTTTTCTTTTATGATCTTGTTCTAGTTAGCCACATATGCAAAATAAATTGTTCATTAGTTGCTTTAATGCTAGTTTTTACATGGATGGATGAAGAAATTCCACATATAAATGTGTATACTTTCACATACAGTATAAAAGCTTTAAAAAAGATTCACTGTATAATAATCAAAGCTGATCATCTTGTGTGTAAAGCAATTATTAATACAAATGTATTTGTTATATAGTGAGATTACTAAGAAGAAAGCAAAAATAAAAAATAAAAAGCAAATACATCACCTGTAGTGCACTAGAGGTGATATTATAGAGCATCAAAAATTGATCAATACTCCGGTCCTCCAGCTCACTGAAATACAGTGTGTAGAGATCTTCAAGTTGTTGAGGTGTAGATAGCTGATGGTCTAGAAATATATAAAAGATAAGCCATCTTTACAAGACTTTTTTACTTTACTTTAATGTTAAAGTCAGGTGCCACAAATGAGAAGGATTTTAAAGACAGGTTCACTCAATTAAAGAATAGGAAGTAGAATTCAATTTGAAAAATACATCCAAGCCACATCAGATGTTCAGAATATGTGGAAAGCAACACACCAGAGATTAGACCAAAAGGAAATAGCTTTTTGACAAATGGAACAAAGGTCGTGCAACATTTTTGCACGCTCAAGCTTCAATGAACAACCCGTGAACAATACGGCCTCCTTGTAACTGTAGATGCAACTATTGGAAGCATAACCAAAGCAAATTCTGTATAAAACCACTAATGTTACTGCAATACCTTGCTGCATGCAAATTTACAGAATGTTACATGGATTTTAATTAAAAATCCATTGAAACAACCAAGTTTGTAGACATTTTTCTTATCTTGGATGTGGATGATTATGGATGCATGTTAAATTGAACACTTTTTAAAGTACAAAGGTTTTATATTGCCAGCAAAATATGACGTGTTTAAATATATGTAACATCAAAAAACAGTATAAATGTATGTATGGTTTTAGATTAAATTCCAACCACTTAGTAAACTGATTTTGGATATCAGTGATTTGAATGTTACACCTGTGATAATCAAGAAAGAAAAACAAATAAGGATGTTCACAGCCATCAATGTCTAACCTGGCTAAATGTTACAACCAAACAGTCCATCAATGATAAGGCAAGATACGTGACCTCACCAATAACGATACCAAAGTACAAATCTTATGGTCTGGGCAGGAGTGTCTAGTTACTTCAGTGTTCAGTGTAGCTCATCCTCATTCCAGCAGGAACATGCAATGAAATTTCATACTTTCATATTGTCACATGCATGAGCCCTATTGAACAAGGATGAGCTGGGACAAGATTACAAAGACCAATGAATAGGAAGATGCTTGTTAAGGCTCTGCAAAAGGAATAGTACAGAATCCCACAAGACAGCAAAACACAAGTCACACTATAGATGTACAGCTTATACTGCTTCCAACAGTGACTATGTTTTCTACTATACTATGACTTGCACAGCAGACACACTGTTGATTAACCTCATTGATCTTAGCAAATGCATCTACAGCCGACATGTCTGTTCACCAACTTGTCAGTGTACATGCTGCAAAGAAGATAATTTACCTGAAAACCTTGTTACAGTTATAAGAAAAACAACTGAAAATATGTATTTTTTTCTTCTGTAAATAATTAATAAACTTATCAAAATTAGGATGTGCTAAAGGAAAAAAGAAAAGCTCTTTTAAAAAGGTAACATACCTTCGATGAGGGCCTTTTGTTGCTGTATAATCTCATCGCATAGAGTCCTGTGCTGGTCATAGTGTTGGATGACTAAATCTTTTTGCCGCAGGAGGTTCTCTTTGCACAACACTGTGGATTGTATCTCTGTATTCTCCACCTCTAGCTCATGAACTTTACAAAGCAGGGTGAGAATTTCGCATTGATCTTCGTTGTTAATCTGCTTTGGAAGTAGCTCCTCCATTTTGGAAGATTTAATCTTCCCAGTTGCCAACTTCTCTTCCAAATCTGACTGACATGGGGCAAGAAAAAATATTTTAAATTTAGTTTTAGCTCCTCATAGAAAACATTCATAATAGTAATGTTATGAAAGTTATACTTTCAATGGACCAGATAATTAATATTGGATGCGTTACCTTTAGAGCCATAGTTTTTCTTTGCTCCTCCAGCAGCATCCCAATCTCCTCTCTTGCAGCTGTTACCTCCTGAGGCTCCAATGTGTCCATCTCCTCATTCCTACTCTCTCCCTCTCTCTCCTCTCCTTTGTGCACCTTGTCATTGCACCTATCCTCTCTCCATTTTCTGGCATGCTTAGCTTTCTCCCTTTCCCAGCTGAAAAAGATATATACATGTGTGTGTTACTTTTAATCTTTAAAAATACAATATCCACTAAGAAGTATGGAAAGCATTATTTTATTATCCTTATTACCAAAACATTTATCATAGTAGACAAAATGCTGTCCGTCTTGACCTTTGGTAGCTTGTTTAGGTAGGTGTCAACACTCTTTTTAATTGAATCCTAATTAGTTTGCATCCGAGAAATAGCTTTTGATTCCAGTGAGTTTAGATGAGTGAATATCATTTCCAAGTACAAACTTAAAAGCAACTTTGACTATGTAACTAGTCTGGCATCTTTCTCTGCAATAATACAGTCCTTTCCAACTGACTATTATAACCACATATTATTAAATTCTGTATAATTCCTGACTCACAGGAATTGGTCTTTTTTACAAATCTGACAGAATAGGAAATACCATACTGGAAAAGCAATAATAATTACATGATCACAGCCATGATCATAAAAATTAAAACAAACATTGGTGAAAATAACTTTGACCTGGGTTTAACTAAAGAAATGTATTTTAATAAACATGAAAGCCAGAAGTATGAATTTCTAGGAAATCGTTCTTGGAACAGGTTCCTTTCCCATTTGTGGTATTTCATGTTAAACACTCCAGTTTGGCTGACCCCATAGCAAACTTTGCTTAGAGTGACACAAAAGCCCTATAATTTAGTCTACCAGTTCAGAGCCGGTTATTAGCCGACTGTGTTTGGAATTGTCAGACTGATCCAGCGGTTGGGGAGATCACTGACAATCAAATGATGCACTTCGGTCTTGCAGTATATTTTAGCTAATGTGCATGTACTGTACACCATCTCTTCCATGCTGGGTTTCAGAGCTGTATAGCAGGGCTAAACTGACAAAACATTCCAATTAAATACGTAACAATATTTGGTTTTAATGAAATACCACTCACTCTGCAATGGTTAGTAGATGCCTTGAGGTGTCTATGTGCAGTTCCATGTTTGAATTCTCAAGCTCCATGAGGCTGCGACGGATCTCCATCTGTTCTCTGAACGCACTCATTAGTTGTTCCTCCAGTCGACCCATCTCCCTGCGGCTGTACTGAGATAAGTGCTGCTGTACCTCTGCTAGATAAGCAACAATTACAAGTGATTACCTAAAAACCAAATTAGATCTAACACTTACAATACAATTCTTTCAAGTAAACCCCACTCATAAAATTCTTTCTTGTATTTCTTTAAAAATATTTGATAATATCTGGAATCTATATGAAATGGAGTCATTTCAAAATGTGTGTGATAGAGGTGCCTTAGAAGTTTCCTCTCATGCCTGGTACAGGAAGTAAACCATACTTTCACATCAACAACCAATCAACAAGTGGTAATAAGAGGATTATCAAATAAAATTTGTTCTGGTTTCATTCTTTTTCTTATTTTATCATTATTAAATGTTTTGTGTCTTAACTGACCTTGTACATCACGGATGTTGGCCTTCTCTCCTTTCTTCTGCTGTTCTGCCCCCTGCTCAACTACTTTGGCTTTCAACCTCTCAATTTCTTTCCGAAGGTCTGCAATGATGTTGGTGTACTGTGCAATGTGGTAAGACACATTCAGCAGATTACGTTTAACCTTAAGAAGAAACAGGAAACAGTGATAAATGTTTGGCACCTATCTTTGAATAAAGCCATTGCACATAGCTTATTTGGAGGCAACGTTTAAATGTCGTAGGAACTCAGATTAAACAGAGGGCTTGTTTTACAACATTAAACTACGATGAGTTCTGTCATTGAATAAGGCTTCATGTTGTGTTTCTTATGCTGCAGTTTCTGGTAAACTGCACAGCAATGTTATGGTTGGTCGAAGCCCAAGGGTACTTTTCAGTGCACTGTTAAACATGATAAGGAAACAACAGAAATGATGCAGGTTGGAAACTGGTCAGTTAATTAAGAATTGTCTAAAAAAAAGCAAAGCTCCCAACCAAAAAATAAACGGAAGAAGAAATCAGAAAGAAAAGTTCACAAAAAAGGAAGAAAATAAAGTAACAAGATATATGTGAACAAACTGAAAAGAAAAAAGGGAGCAAAGAAAAATGATCAAGATTAATAGGGAAAAATAAACAGGAAACTGCTGTATTGCAGCACTGGGAATCAGGCAAGCAAGGAAGCAAAAGAAAAACTTTTGTTTAGCGAGATGTGACTGTTCACACAGAGATTAAGGCTCTAATGACAAAGTAACAATACAGTGGTTCGAAGAAACTAAATAGGGCTTCAAATTATTGAGATTTAGAACTAGATCAGGAGCCTAATTGAAAAAGGACATGAGACGGACACAACCCAGGGTCCCCACCTTAATGGATGGTCTCTGACCGGATGTCGAGTTTGAGAGGGAAATCAAGGTGGATTAATCGAGGGCAATTCAGATGTTGGGCAAGGACCCATGTTCTTTCTTCAGGTCCTCTTCCCTACCACTGAACCAAATATTGCAGACTGGATCGGACCCTTCATGAACCCAGAATGCGGTTGGGAATGAGCTCATCAGAATTTTCCACCAGTGCAGTAATGGTAAGTATGTTTGTGGTAGTCAGAGAGGGTTTTATAAGATAATAGGATAATTTTTGCCCAAGGGAGTGCAGAAGAGTCAGTCTGTCAGTGTTTACTGGTTCCAGGATTTTATATGGGCCAATGTAGCAGGGAGCCAGTTTATGAGAGGGCAGCTTGAGTTTCAGGCGACAGGTTGAAAGTCACATTCATTGCCCTGGACGTTCATGAATTGGGCTGATAATCCGAGAAGAGGAGCTTGGAACCTATACTGACATTCAGATGTAGATAGTCAAGCGTAACTATTCACTTCCACTATAAAAATATTCAGAGAGAGCTCAGCCCAAGGAAGAAGGGATGCTCAATCATCCTGAAATGTGGACAGATGGCAGCTTAGTTAAATTTCAAGGTCACGATTTACTTGTTCAAACCAAGTCTCGGGTCTCTGAATGGTAACACAGAAAATAGAAACGAATTGGGACCCTCTGTCAGACAGGATTGTGAATGGAAATCCATGGAGACAGAACACCTCTTTTATGAATATTTTGGCCATTTGGGCTGCAGATGTTAGTACGGGCAGAGATACGAAGTAGAGGCTTTGGAAAAATTATCGACCACTGTGAGAAATATAGAATACCCCTGGGATCAGGGCAGACCCGTGATGAAATCTGTAGAGATGACCGGTATGGATTGGGCAATGATAGCAGAATGGTAACAGAAGTCCAGCACGTGGTCATCTGGAGTCCTTTGCCTGATGTGCAGGCATTTACATAGGTTGTTACATCAGTCCTCACAGACAGGCAACAGAAATAGGAGCTCCAGTGTGCAGGTACATCCAGGATGTCCTGCTAATGTAGATGAATAACCGCATTGAAGGACATGCTGTCGGGCTTGTGTTGAAACATAGTTTGTCAGGAGGAGAAATTGAGGGGGCCGGTTCGGAGGACTGAGCTGTGGTGACCTTTGTTCAACTTGCCTCTAAGGGGCATCGCATCGATGGGGCATTAATATTCACAATGTGGTGAAGGCTTTGCACCTTTTTTTTCACACACGTTGGCAATGTCTTGATAAGGTTTAGGGAGGCTAGAGAGGCCTGGTTCGTGAGCCCCCACATTATATCCAAGGGGCAAGGAGTTTTTTTGGCACAAAACAGCACACAGGGACTTCGCTCCCTACCCACTCTGGAAAGCAAGGATTTTAAAATGGATGCTGTATCAATGAGCCGGTCCAGAGTCTTTGTTTTAGCAATACAGGTTGAGAATCCCTTATCTGAAATTCCTGGGACCGAAAGTGTTGCGGATTTCAGAATTTTTTGGATTTCGGAATATTTTTATATTTGCATCTATAAAATGGGACAGCTTGGGGATGGGACCCAAGTCTAAACACGATATCCATTTACATTTCATAATATAGCTTATACATATACCCTGAATGTAGTTTTATATCAATTTTTAATATTTTTTTTAACTTAATACCATCAGAAAGGTAAGATATCAGTCTCCACCTACGATGTCATGTTTTGATTAAAAGGTTACAGTACACGTACACCATTTGTATTTTATTTTTTACTATACAGGTATTAAGTTTTATGTACGGTATAAAAACAAAGCATTGAATATGATTACAGGTAAATAAAATGAAAATTGAAAAAAGTCAGCATTTTATTTTTAAAGTAATGTACAAGTAATACCGCTAGTCAAGTTACACTCATACATGGAGATGAAATTCAGATCTCACGTAAAAATACCGTTTTGTACTTACTGTACAAAAAAACAAAACAAAACATGATGATCACTGCTTACAAACTTGAAGATAAATGCAGCCCCAGACATTACAACTACATCAGGTCCAAGAAACTTGAGGGAGAGGGTACGTCATCGATGACATCACTGTGAGATGCCCTCTGTGAATATCCCTTCAATGATTAGCAGCAATGACTACTGTGTTCAAACAAGTTATTTGTTCTTTTGCTTAATTTTCAAATTATATTCTCACTTATGAACACGAACACATCTTTTGTCTTGCACCTTAATCCCTACCTTGGCACTTCTGGTTGGTGCTGTACAAGTCTTCCAACTGACGCAATAGGATGGATCCAAGGCGATGGACCCATGGCACCATTTGGCACAGAAAAATGGACATTGGATTTCAGAGCTGAGACTCTAGACCCCTGCTAGTTGACTACCCCTCAACCTTTACAGCTTGGACACCTGCACTCAAGTACTTACTTTCTTGGAACAGTCTATAGAAGTCCACTCTTATACTAAATGAACTCACTCCTAGCCAGCCTCTATTGAGTCTGATAGGCCTTTGACCCCCACAGAATCATTTATTTCTCTCTCACCTCTGTGCCTGTTGGCACCCTGATGAACATACAATTATATTTCTAAAGGACCCATTTTTATTAATTCTATCCTCTTAAACACAGAACAAAAGGATCCATCGATGCCAGCGATTGAATGATCATTACATTCAGAGGCTGAGAACACTAATTATCTTTTTTATTTGCTGTCAGGTCAATCATCATGATCCATCTCTACTGCTGTGAGAGACCCAGGGATTATGCATTTGGTGCAAAGACAAACTAGTCCTTCAGGGATGCCATATACAGTCACTGTGGAGCAGAGAGGTAAATACAGAAAGAGAAGCTAGAAGCTAAAGCTTGCACTGCAACTGCCAATTTTGGAAAGAATGAAGACCATCCTAATTAAAAAATATGTATGAAAATCCCTTTGTTACGCCTATGAAAAAAGAAAAAGGAAAATTACCTATAATAAGTTTATGATTATGGAAAATAGGCCATGTCTTCTTGTATTCCTGATGAGCACCAAATCGAATTTAGTGCATAATAATCAGGCCAAAATGCAGTCTACAATGTCTAACTAGAAATTAAATCTTTAAATCTATATGGAGAGACCAGATATTTTTTCCTGTGAATGGCAAGATATGAGTGTCAAGATTAAACCAAACACATATTCACAATCATTATTTTATAAATACACTAATTTGATCAGAACAGGGAATATTCGTATACTGATTAACAGTTTGTGAAAGGTCTGTGGTCATTAGTTGTTAAGGGTACTACACTGATAATAAATAATCGAGTGTTTGGAAGATGGGAAGAAACCAAGCACCTGGGGAGAACCTGGACACAGGGAGAATATCCAAACACCAATCAGACAGACCCCCAACCAGAATCAAACCCAGGACTATGGTACTGAAAGGCAATAGTGCTAACTACCATGCTGTGAAGTCGACAAATCCCTAGATCATTTTAATCTTTCCCCTCATGTATATGCAATTTCTTTTCACTGTCCTTAAAATAACTTTAATCTTATTCCTTTATTATCTCAGTGTCTTTTTGTTTGTGTTTAAACTGACACAAATGTTTAGATTACTTGCAAGGAATAGGTCTACATGTGGCAGGTTAGCACTGATTTTCCTCATAAACACTTGCATCAAATATTCTTATAATACGTTTGTTATTGCATAATCATCTTCTGTATATTCATCCACCATAAAGGACTGCGCTTAAAAACCAAACAGTAATGAGCACATTCCTATCAGGCCATTTCCTAACTAGCAATGAATATTAGTTGTGCTCAATACAGTCATAAAGTGAAAACAAAGTACACTCGTTTTCTCGTTTGATTACTCTTGAACCATAAAGACCACCTAATGGCTGGAAAGAAACAAAAATAAGTCTTCAGTTATATTGAAATCCTTACACTCCACTGCCTTATATTTACCCTAGTTTTGATGTTTTTGGCCCGGTCTGCATAGATCAGTGTTGTTCTAGACTCTTCAAAGTTAGTGCTGGCAGGGCTTATATGAGCAATCATGACCGTCCGGCTGTTCCCACCAAGTGAATCCTAGACACAAAAAAAGCATTATGTACATAAAAGTGAGAAACAGGCCTTTGATTACATTATAATCTGAAATTATAATATATTTTCATATTAATTTCCTATTTCTTTTTGAAAGAGATTAAATCTCAGATATGACAGTGGAACACACCTCCCACTGCACTCCCCACTCCGCGGCGTGTGGGAATGTGCAGCTACCACACCTGAGGCTAATCAGGGCTGCGTTTTAAGATCCCCACATGCGCTTACAGAGAGCGTTCAAGTCTAGCACCGAATGTACTCCCAAGCCGGCTACACAAACGATTGCTCTCAGCTACGAGAGGATTTACTCTTCTCATTAAGAAACGATTCTCTCATCAACTGGAGAACAGTCACCTTCTCCAAAGACTACACACTGGCACACCGCATAGGAATAAGAAGCGCTCTGCCAGTGCTCAGGCAGCACCCTATCGAATCCGACTCTATCACACAGACTACAAACAAGCCATTGCACTCTGAGAGCGAAAATGTTAGCAAATGTTGTATTTAACAGATAGTATACACTCATGTGAAAAAGAAAGTACACCTTCTTTCAATTCTATGGTTTTATATATCAGTACATAACAAAAAATCATCTGGTCCTTACCAAGTCCTAAAATTAGGTAAATCTAACCTCAGGTGACAAACAACACATAACTAATTCCACTATGTCATTATTTATATAACAAACAATAAGCTAACATGCCGAAGCAATGTGTGAAAAACTAAGTACACCCCATGATTCAGTAGCTTGTAGAACCATCTTTAGCAGCAATAACGTGAAGTAATCATTTTCTGTACAAGTTTATCAGTCTCTCACATTGTTTTGGAGGAATTTTGGCCTACTCTTCTATAAAACATTGCTTCAGTTCACTGATGTTTGAGGACATTCGTTTATGCACAGCTCCACTGAGGTCCTGCCATGGCATATCAATGGGGTTGAGGCCTGGACTTTAACTTGGCCATTCAAATACCTTGATTGTTTTCTTTTTCAGCCATTCGGTTGCAGATTTGCTAGTATGCTTGGGATCAATGTCCTGTTGCATGACCCTGTTTCTGCCAAGCTTTAGCTGTTGGCCAGATGGCCTCACATTTGTCTCAGGAATACTTTGGTATAAAGAAGAGTTAATGGTTGACTCGATGACTGCAAGGTGCCCAGGTCCTGTGGCTGCAAAACAAGCCCAAATCATCACCCCTCCACCCCTGTGCTTGACGGCTGGTATGAGGTGTTTGTGGTGATACGCTGTGTTTGTTTTTTTCCCCAAACATGGCATTGTGCATAATGCCCAAACATCTCCACTTTGGTCTTGTCTGTCCAAAGGACATTGTTCCAGAAACTTGTGGTTTGTTCAGATGCAACTTTGCAAACCCAAGCCACACTGCCATGTTCGTTTTGGAGAGAAGGGGCTCACTCCTGCCTAGCCTTCCATGAAAGTCATACTTGTTCAGTCTTTTTCTGATCGTACCGTCATTAACTTTAACATTTAACTTGTTAACTGAGGCCTGTAGATTCCTCGATGTAGCTCTTGGGTTCTGTGCGATTTCTCTGAGCATTATACGGTCTGACCTTGGGATGAATTTGCTGGGATGCCCACTCCTGGAAAGACTGGCAACTGTCTTGAATGTTCTCCATTTGTAAATAATCCTTCTCACTGTAGAATGATGGATTTCAAACTGTTTGGAAATGGCCTTATAACCCTTCACAGATTGATGAGCAGCAACAATTGCTGATGTCTTTTCTCCTTGGCATGGTGTTAACACCCACCTGAATGCTCCAGACCACCAAACTGCCAAAAGTTCTAATTTTATACAGGTAGTCACACTTCCTGATCATCAACTAATCACGTGCATTTGATTAGCAGCACCTGGCTGCTAATTACCTTTTTAATTCCCCTGGAAGCAGTAAGGGGGTACTGCATTTTGGCTTACTTTTTGTTAAATAAATATAAATATAAAAGTATAAAAGTAATGACATAGTGAAATCTGTTATGTGTTGTCTGTTATCTGAGGCTAGATTTGTCTAATTATAGAAGTTGGTGAGGACCAAACGATTGTTATTTATGTCCTGATATGTAAAACCATTGAATTGAAAGAGGGTGTACTTTCTTTTTCACATGACTGTATTTGATATAATAACAATTTAAATACCAGTTTTGAGACCATTAACTAGTAATATAAAGAACCAGTCTTTTGCAGTTTAGGGTAGGTTGGCCAAGAAATGCTGAGATTGCTAATTAGCAATCAAATCCATATGTTTAAGAAGTGGTGATAAGCACATAAGATTTGATTAGGTGGCAGGAAAGTAAGCATATACCACAATGCCTTTAGGTAATCCTTACCTTCAGCAGACGTGTGAGTTTGCTGTCACGATAATTGATAAACTGGGCTCTGCTTCCTCCTCTCTCACTCAGGGCATTAATACAATTGCCCAAGGCAAGCAAAGAGCGATTAATGTGTGCTCCTTCCTTCATTCTTTTCCCTCGATTCTGGGTCTGAATTGGAATAACAGAATTAGACCTATGTCACTCAAAAAGTATTTTAAGATAGGGCGGTGTAGTGGCTCTTTGGCCAAGGATCTGCACCAGTGGCTGGAAGATTGCCGGTTCCAATCCTACTCCGTTGGGCCCCTGAGCCCCTTAACCCCAACTGCTTCGGGGGCACCGTATAAATGGCTGACCTTGTGCTCTGACCCCAAGCTTCTCTCCCTGTCTTTGTGTCTCTTGGAAATTAAGTTGGGGTATGTGAAATAAAACAAATTAATAATACGAGAAATTATATATGGCCAATAAAGAGAGCTTATCTTATCTATCACTCAAAAAGTCACTGAACTATATTACAAAAACAATGTGCTGCCTGGTATACAGCTTTCCTTATGAATCAGATGAATAATTAAACTCTTCTTTAAGCAATAAAAACAGCAAAATGTGAGCTCAGGTGGGGTAACTACAATGGATTTTGTTCTTTTTGTTCTACTGGAGGTTCTCACCTGCGACGCTCTCTCAGTCCCTGCCAGGTCAATCATGAAAAGCTTCCCCACCCGAACCTCTTCATTAATGTCCTTTACCCGGTTCCTCTGTTTCACTCTGACCTGCAGTATGGCGTGAGAGCGAGATGATGTCTTGTTGGCAGCGGTCGGCTCCTGAGTCCGCTGTTTATTTCCTTTAGTTAGCAGCTGCATAATCTAAGATACAACATTAGATGACATTTATAATAGCATTCAATCATTAAACTGAAGATTAACATTAACAGAAATGGGAAAAGAAAAAATGTACCAAATGAATATAACATTACATAAAAGACATCAACCCATAAGAAGTTATTACGCATCACTTACGAGACCTCC